TTCATTTTATGTATCGTACAATTCGGGATATCTTGCCTTTATTTCTTCTTCTTATTCCCACATGGCTTCTCTAATCTCATGATTTCTCCATAACCCCTTCACTAATATCACTTCTTTATTACTCAACCTCTTTACCTCTCGATCTAATATCTATATTGGTCTCTTATCATATGTCAAATCTAAAGTTAACTCCTTTGGTTCTACTCGTCAATATATGATTTGTGTCAATCACATATTTTTTTAGTATCGATATATGAAAGACGTTATGGACTTTCGATACGGATGGAGGAAGAGTTAATCCGTATGCTCAATTACCCACCCTATTAAGAATCTCATAAGGTTTGATATATCTAGGACTCAATTTTTCATTCTTCTCAAATCGCATCACCCTCTTCGTCGATGCAACCTTAAGAAATACATTGTCACCAACTTCAAAAGTTAAATCCTTTCTCTTTTGATTGATGTAACTTTTTTTCTATTACGGGTTGTTTTCATTCTTAACTTATCTTTTCTATCACCTCGACTGTTTGTTGAACTATCTCCGGTCCTAACAATTTTCTTTCACCTACCTTATCCCAATAAAATGGTGATCTACACCTCTTCTCATGCGAGTGTCTCATAAGACGAGCATTCCTATACTTGCTTTGTAACTATTATTATAGGTAAATTCTACTAGTGATAGATATTTTTTCTATTTATCCAACCGATCAAGTACGGGACCTTTAGCATATCTTTCAATGTTTATATCACCCTCTCTAACTACCCATCACTTTAGGGGTGAAAAGCAATATTAAAATTTAGCTTAGTACCAATTACCTTATGCAAACTCTTTCGAAATTTCGAAGTGAACCTTGAATCCCTATCAAATACAATTGATACGAGTGCTCTATGTAACATTATTATCTCACTCATATATAATTTTGCATATTGGGTCATGTTGAAAGTTATCTTCACTAGTAGAAAATGAGCCAACTTCATTAATCTATCTATAATGGCCTAGATGGCATTAGATTCTTTTTTTACCTAGGTAATCCCACTAAAAAATCCATAGTTATGTGCTCTCACTTTTATTTAGGCATTGCTAAAGGTTGTAAGATACCCGATGGTCTTTGATAATTAATCTTTACTCGTTGATAGGTCAAACATCTAGGTACATAATTCGCTATATCCTTTTTCATTTCTCACCACCAATACACTCGGTTTTAAATCTCGATACATCTTACTACTACTAGATAGTACTAAATAAGGAGTAGAATGTGCCTCACTCGGAATTACTTCTCTCAAATCCTTATACTTCGAACACATAACCTACCACGGTACCTCATCACCCCATCATTTTCTACTATAAAATCTAGTCTTTTCCTCTCCTTCATTTCTTTCTTCACCTTAATCGCCTCATCATTGATTAACTATACATTTTTTATACTTGGACCTTAAATGCGGCTTCGGTATTAAAATCAATAACCTACACTCATCTTCCTTCGACACCACCTCTAGATTAAGCTCTTTCGGGTCCCTTAAAATACTTATATGTACTACTTTCATTGTTGCTCATGTTTTTCTACTTAAGGCATCTGCTACTACATTTGTCTTTCCCGAATGATAATGTAGTACATGATCATAATCCTCTAACACCTCTAACCATCTCCTCTACCTCATGTTTAACTCTTTATGAGTGAATAAGTTTTAAGACTCTTATGATCGGTATAAATCTCACATCTTGTCCCGTACAAATAGTGTTTTTAAATTTTAAGTGCAAACATCACCTGTCGATAACTCTAAATCATGCGTGGTGTAGTTATTCTCATAGTCTTTCAACTATATTAAGGCATAAGCTATAACTTTTTCCTTTTGTATTAATACTTCCCCCAATCCCATCTTAAAAGCATCTCGTGTACACCATAAAATTGCCTTCACTAGTTGGGAGAGTCAACACGAGTGCAGTAGTCAACCTTTACTTCAACTCTTAAAAACTCACCTCGCATTCATCTCCATACTAAAATCTAACATTTTTCTTAGTTAGCTTCGCCAATAGAGTAGCCAACTTTGAAAAGCTTTTCACAAACATTTGATTGTACGCAACCATTCCTAAAAAAACTTCTCACCTTTGACATATTTTTAGGTTATCTCTAATTCTAAACCACCTCAACCTTGTTTGGATTTACTCTTATCCTATCCTTCGACACCATATAACCCAAAAATGCTACCTCATCTAGCTAGAATACATCTTGAATTTTGCATACGATTGGCGCTCTCTCAATGTTAAAGTATGATCTTCGAGCGCTCCGCATGTTCTTCCTTGCTCTTAGAGTAGACTAGAATAACATCAATAAAGACGATCACAAACCTATCTAGATATTTATGAAACACTCGATTCATAAGGTCTATAAAAGTTGCAAGAGCATGTATGAGTCCGAAAGGTATCACTAGAAATTCATAGTGATCATACCTACTTCGAAAACCTTTTTTTTTTACATCTTCTTAATTCTTAACCGATGGTGCATTAATTGTAAATCGATCATAAAGAAAATTGATGCCCCTTGTAACTAATCAAACAAGTCATCAATATGAGGGAAATGGTGCATGCTCTTAATTATTACTCAATTCAAACTGCGGTATTCTATGCAACCTCAATATCCTATCTTTCTTTTTTATAAACAACATCGGTACACCTTACGGTGAACAACTTGGCCTTATATACCCCTTATCTAGTAACTCTTGTATATGCTCCTTTAACTATTTTAATTTTGTCAATGCCATCCTATAAGGAGCTTTGGAAATTTGAGCGGTTCTTGGTTCTAGCTCTATCTCAAAATCAATCTTCCTCATTAGTGGTAACCCCTTTAAACACTCTAGAAATACACTCACAATTTAAAATTCTCAAAAAAATTATTTTTCATGCACATTTAAAATGCTTAAAATAATTATTTTGTATAAAAAAATATTATTCATGCATCAAAAAACCCATAAAATATTCACTTGGGCATAGGAAAATTATCTTAAGTGTACGGAATATTCTTGCAACCTCCTAACAATTATTCCATGCCCATGAAATAGTTTTTGCACATCTTTAATATATTTTTAATTTCTTTAATAACGAGTTCGGGATATTACGGGATCCAAATTGAAAAGATTCAAATTTGAAATTTCTTAATATTGACTGAATGATTTAAAATGCTTTAAATTTGAATCTATTGATATTTATATGTGTTTAAGATTTAATTTTAAGGGGTAGTAAGTGTTTAATATTTCTAGGTCTTATTTTTCTTTTATTTATCTATTTTTTCTATATACTTATTGTTACTATTAATTTCTATAAAAAAAAAAGTAAGAGGTAAAGGGGTAGACTTAATATGTAATATTATTCTTATTTTTTTATATAAAAAGTCCCTCGGGAATTGTTGATCAATGATGAAGCTAGCAATAGGCTAGCATTTTTTTCTTATGATGGAAAAATAAAATAGACCAATGTGAATTAAAAAAGCCAATGACCTTGTGGAGGCCAATTGACTATTTTATTATTCATGGAGTCGTTTTCACATGATTTATGGTCTTTGCGTGTTTAATTTGATTATGTTTTGCACTAGTATTTTACTTATTATGATGTCGATCTAAATCCGTTTAAATGGAGTAAGTTTAAGATTTGAGACCAATTTTATTCAAATGACGGACTCTTTCTATTTATTATATTATTATTAGTATTATCATATTTTATATTCTTATTTATTTTTTTTATTTTTTTAGTATTACCGATTTTGTCTTCTTGTAGATTTTGTTTTAAATTTAACTTTGGACCTAGGGTATGAGTTTTATTTTAAAAGTGGCATGGTAGGATAATAAGGACTCAAAACTCTGTGTGTATATTTTGAAATTATTTTGTTTGGGATTTGTAAGGTTTGGCGGTGAATTTGGACATATGGCCCGAGTCAATTTATTTGAATTTTATACATCTTGGTTTTGGTTCGAGGATGTTTAATTTACAATGGACTTTAAACCTTGATTTTTATCTTTTCGTGTGGGCTTCAACAACCCAATAACAATTTAGATGAGAAATTAAGCCTTATTTTTGTCTTCAAATCAGCTTATTTAGGTTTGGTTAGAAAAAGCTAGATGATCAACTCGTAAATTAAGATTAAAAAAAAAAACACTTAATTGGACTTTATATGAAGTAAATTATAAGGTTAGGATTGAACGGTAACCTTATTAAGATGGAACATTAGAATGACTACTATCTAACTGTGTAATCAATCTTCTTTTATAGAATTTTAAGGACTAGTTTGTTAAATTTTTTTTTATTTTCACCTTTAGGAAAACTGAATGGTGACTTTACTATTTATATATTTTATTCTCACGATCGCTAAAAGAATACCGTGTGCAATTATTATAATTTTATTTTTTGTTTTTTGTTTTATTTTATTTTTTGGTTAAATACCAATTCTCATTCACGTTATGCATATGGGCTTTAACCTCGAAACTAATTGGGTTAAAGACCTCATAATTCCCACCAAAATGAAAGTGGGTTTGGTCACAAAGGCATCATGGGCCTTCAGCATCTGATTGAAGTCTTGATAGCTAGCCCTTGAAACCTGGAAACTAAGAGCTATCCGCTATTTTCATCTACTTATGGACGCCATTTGGACCAAAACTCCAAAAAGGGTGGATCATGTAATTGGCCGGGTACGACATAATTAATGCCATGCAGTGGACAAACCGCAAGAACAGTTAGGCATTTATAGGTGCCAGCCAAGGTTCCAAATGTTTGTGGTTCTGGGTAGTTAACCGGCTTCAACAAAATGAAAGAAACTACAACTGTTTTTGCTATTATCGCCCAAGTATTCTTGTTGGCGGATTCTCCAATCTCAAACCAAACCAGCAAACAAAGCTCACTCTTTGTTACGTCCTTCTCTGTCTCTGATAACCCAAAGTTGAACAAGTTTTTAAATAATCCAAGCTTTACACAGAGAGGAGAAGGAGAGTGACAGAGAGAGTAAGAGAGAGATATGGCAGGCATTGCTGGTGCAGCTTGTTCTTCTAATGTACTGTTTAGAAGCATAGAAGTGGGAAACAATGGAGCTTCTCTGGCTCAATATAGTGGGCTTAGACCAGTTGAGAACATGCAAATGGCTCCAACTGGGAGTAAGCCAAGTGGGTCCATTTCTACTTCAGGTATGAGCCTTGGTGCTTCATTTTTTTTTTTTCCTACCTTGCAATGGACATAAAATGAAAAATCATTATGCTACTTAGAAATGTTTTGATCTCGGTAAAATGAAGTTAGCAACAAAAGAAAATGTCAGAACTAAAATTGTCATTCTGTTTAGCATGTTTCTGCCAAGAGAACCCCAAATATAACAATGCTCTGACACATGCTTGGAATTGGATATTATGTTCGTGATTCTGAATTTTCTGGGTCATTGGTTCATCTTTCTAGTATTTTTCCTACCTTAACTTTTACGCTCATGCATATGAATGAGTAAGCCTAGTGTTGTTCAAAATGATTGTGCTCAAATTTTATACTTCGACCTCTTATGTTTATGGGATCTAACTTTAAATGAATTTACCATCTTCAGCTCCAAAATCAAGAACAACTAGAGCCATGGTATCTCAAACTGTTTCAGCTCCCAAGCGTGAAAAAGATCCCAAGAAACGAATTGTCATTACAGGAATGGGACTAGTCTCAGTTTTTGGTAGTGACATTGATACATTCTATAACAAACTCCTCGAGGGAGAGAGTGGGATCAGCGTAATTGATAGGTTTGATGCTTCGAGTTTCTCTGTTCGGTTCGCCGGTCAGATTCGTGATTTTTCTTCCAAAGGATACATTGACGGGAAAAATGATCGCCGTCTTGATGATTGCTGGAGGTACAGTCTAGTTGCTGGCAAGAAGGCCCTTGAAGATGCCAACCTTGGCTCTGAAGTGCTTGAAAATGTAAGCCATATACCTCTGTTTGCTAAATGTGAATCGACTTAGACTAAGCATTAATGATGAAATCTCTTGACATGTATGCCTTACAGATGGACAGAACAAGAATTGGAGTGCTGGTAGGAACAGGCATGGGAGGCTTGACAGCTTTTAGTAATGGAGTTGAATCTCTTGTCCAAAAGGGATATAAGAAGATATCTCCATTCTTCATCCCTTATTCCATCACCAACATGGGCTCAGCATTATTAGCTATAGACACAGGGTTAATGGGCCCTACTTACTCCATCTCCACTGCTTGCGCGACCGCAAATTACTGCTTCTACTCAGCTGCTAATCATATTAGAAGAGGTGAAGCAGATATCATGGTAGCTGGGGGAACTGAGGCTGCAATCATTCCTACTGGTGTTGGTGGTTTTATAGCTTGCAGAGCACTGTCTCAAAGAAATGAAGACCCTAAGAAAGCTTCAAGGCCTTGGGACAAGGATCGTGATGGTTTTGTCATGGGAGAAGGCTCTGGTGTGCTGGTAAATATATACAACTCCATACTTTATTGTGTTTGAATACCTATTGGCATCGTAACTCACTCAGCTCATATACATATCAGTAGCATTTCAACACTCAGAATTTATTTGGAACTAAATTTCTATGATGGGAATAGATAATGGAGAGCTTAGAGCATGCAATGAAAAGAGGGGCCAATATAGTTGCGGAATATCTAGGAGGTGCTGTAACTTGTGATGCTCATCACATGACAGATCCCCGTTCAGATGGCCTTGGAGTTTCAACCTGCATAACCAAAAGTATGGAAGATGCCAGAATTTCCCCTGAGGAGGTAGGAGCACTCAATTTCTTGACAGAAAGGAAACCTGAAGTACACTTTTCTTGAGATAAATTTTCTTCCCCGCTGTTCCGGATACAATTATGTAGCTGGCCTAATTTCTGATTTACAGGTGAACTATGTTAATGCTCATGCAACATCAACACTAGCAGGGGATTTGGCTGAGGTTAATGCAATCAAGAAAGTCTTTAAGAACACTTCTGAGATCAAGATGAATGGGACCAAGGTAAGATACTGCACGGTTAGATTTTGCAATATCCCAATAAATATAAATTGGATTTACAGTAATCATTATGGAGAACAGCATTAATGCTAGCTAAATTGGTCTTTTCTTGTCTTAGTCAATGATTGGACATGGACTTGGTGCTGCTGGTGGCTTAGAAGCCATAGCAACTATAAAAGCCATCAACACCGGATGGCTTCACCCATCCATCAATCAAGATGTAAGTACCACCATCCTCATTTCTCTTACTCGTGGCATTAGTTTACTCCAATATTTCCTAATGTTTTTGCATGTTCTGCACTACTTAACTCTGCAGAACATTGAGCCTGGTGTTACAATTGACACTGTTCCCAACGTGAAGAAGCGACATGAAGTTAATGTTGGTATGTATTATGTTCCTCTCAACATGTACATCTGATAGATGTCGGTCCAAACTCCGATGATCAAAGGGAAAAATGTCTTGCGGGAAGCTAAAAAGATCAAATACCTGCATGCGCATGATGCATATATTGTAGCGTGATGTAGTTAATTTTTTCCTTCATTTCACTGCAGGAATCTCAAATTCATTTGGCTTTGGAGGGCACAATTCAGTGGTCGTTTTTGCTCCCTTCACACCCTAATTGACTAAAACTCAAGCCATGCAGTTTTTGTCTTCCTCCCTTGGAAATTTATTAATTTTCGGTGTCCAAATTGAGTAAAGCACGACGGATATTACATGGATATTGTGAACATCTCTGATTTTTTCAGTGATGAGGACTGAAGATAATGTAGCCCTTTTGATCATTTCATTTGCTGTAATAACCATGCATCATGAGATCAGATTCTGTGTTTTGTAATTCAATAATAAAACGTTCCTGTTGTCTTCTCTTTAATTGGTGCTCTTGTTAGTGCACAGCACTATTGGTTATTTTCCCCTTGATTATGGAAACGTTGAATTCCTCTCCCAGCTTTCTTATGACTGTTAAAAGAATGTTCTGATGCATTCATTCTGTCTTTCTTTGGTGTTCCTTTCCAAACGCGTCTACCACGTTCCATTTGATAAAAGAAGAAAAATTGAGTAATGCTAATTGATTTTACTAAATATAAACTAGACATTCCAAATTGATTTCATTGGATCCCATAATCCAACTGGTTAAAAAAAATTTCCAAATATGATTTCGGAAAAACTCTTCGGTAAGATTAGCATTGTTTTTGTTCCAAAGATTTTTGGAGGATCCAGCGTGAAGTATATGCCTTAGTATTCCAGAATTTCAACTCAGTCGTTAGTTGAAATGTCAAGTTAAAGTGAACCATTTAGTGTGTGCGAGTTTGATTACCCACTATGTACGGCTCTGGTATAGCTAGCATTGTGTCACTCTCAACTTCTTTATTCTGTACATCAAAATGGAGTTGTCACGCTGGAAAAAAGTTCAAGGAAGCAATAGAAGAATTAACTGAAGAGAGAGTGAGAGAGAGATACCTGGCATTATAGTAGAGAAAAGATTGGCATGACAATCTCTGCAACTTTCCTTTCACAAAGATTTGTCATAGAATCAATGTGAAGAAAAACTTCTGGCTGGGGACAAATAGAACCTCTATAGATTAAAATATCCGGTTCTTTAGAGCCGTCATTAAAGTTAGTATCGTTCCCACTTGCTTGGTGCTAAGTTACTGTTTAGCTAATGAATCAGAAAGGAAGCACATGGGCAGCTTGATGTCGACAGTGAGAAATCGGGCATCTTGATTCCTCCTTCGAGTTAATGCTATGGTAATAGATTAGGCCATCATTGGCCAAACAACTCTTAATTAGAATCCCTTTATTACCCTTAAAAAGCCCATGTTGTTGATCAGATTTAGGCCCCTTCAAGCTTAAACAGCACCACGTACGAGCTTTTTAAACTACCTGATTAAAGTATCATTCTTTTATTAGCTGTGGTAAGATTCCTCTCAAAGAATCTTCAAGTACTCTTGCTCTCCCATTTTAGTAATCCTTGTACCATGTATTCACAGCTAACATTCAACTGTTTGTACTTTTGTTAGTTTTTTTAAAGTGTTCAAACTTGCATTTATTCATTTTTCGTTTCTTATTCTTCTTCCCTTCCACTTCAAGCGAACCAAAATTTAAGCAGACTGCCAGCTTTCAATTAATCTTCCACGGTGATTTGATTCTTCTTAAAATACCAAGTTCAATGTTTGGGCAGTGAGCAAATAGCAAGAGCTTAGCGACCACACATAGTTGACAAGAAGGAAACCCTAGCTATAATACTAGTTTAGGTAACTAATAACATCATAATTACAGGTGGCTGGGGGCTTAGTTAGTAAACAATTGAGTGTTTTATGTCATCCATCATGCATCATTTGACCAAAGATTATCCTAATTTATACATTTCAGCAACTAATCAAATTTACCCTGAAAATTGTTGGTAGGTAATCTAACATTCGTCAGGCAGGCAGGCAACATCGATGGCTGAACGAAGAAAGTAAAAAAAAAACTTCATTTTCCCTAGAGCAAGCGATATCATAAAATCCATACACTCTACATCTCAGCCGAAGAGAAAATCACCTAATTAAGTGATCTCAGCGATGCAAGAGAACATATAGGTGGTTCTGGTTTTTCCTTTCTTTTTTCCAACTTTCATGCACTTCTGAATCTTTAATTCCTGGATCAAATTTTGAGTGATTATAATCATTTCAAATTCATAGTAAGGTCATGACTTGTTGGTTAACCAGTAGTTCAACGGACATATTTAAAGTTATCGGACATAATTGTTTTCACTAATGATTCTCGAGTGGCAACTAGCTAGCTAGAGCAGATTCAATTAAAAGATAGCTGGACCATCATCATCTGCTCTACTAATCAATCGTGGTACCAAAGTTATGTCCAATAACCGGCAGTGTTGAGCGTTTCTGTTTGATGCATATAACCCCAGTTACCTACTTTAAGCACTAAATTCATTGCTAATTGGGCTTCAGCCTTGGATAAACCAATTAGAGAGTACTAACATGGATATTGACTTGGTTAGTGCTCAGCTAATTGGTTTGACCAATCTTTTCATGCTTATATGAATTGCTATGTACTAAATTGCTTAATTCCAAGGCCAACATGCTTTCAACCACTCTCTTGCCTATGCTTGGCCTGCATGTATTTTTCTCGTACAAAAGGCATAAATAAAAAAAATCAAATGAATTTGAATAGGGAATTTATGACATCAAATTTCAATCTAGCTGTATTTGAGATAAATTCGTGAAAACCAACTAAACATAAATAATAAGTGGATTAAACTCGAAAATCAAATTATGCTGAACCCAAAAGCTGGTTTGTGGCTGAAGACGATAGATGACCTCTATATAATGACAAAAGACTAAGGACGTTAGGGCCCAGATAAATACGTCATATGATGGCTAATGGTAATTTTCAAAGAGGATTCTGCGTCCTTGTGCAAAGGTAATGAGGAAAAGGAGAGAAAAAGGTTGAATAAATGAGGGTCCAGTGGATCTCAAAGCTTTGGACTGAAGAAGTAGGCAAGTCCACATCGTCGAGGCCTCTGGTTCAATGATCCCACGGTTGAAAATGGTTCAAATTAGGTCAAAAGGAAGTCAATCTTGCAGTACTGCTTTGGGGGGACCAAAATCCCACTCATCCTACCCTCACGTCTCTTTGGACAAATAATATGCCAACATGAAAGGCAATTTCGAAAGGTAAGCCTCCACTAGTTGAACATTTCCGAATAACCCATGATTGTCTTCACATGGATTCCAACCCAAAATGTTACATTATTTAATAATGTTTATAAGAAGGCATCCACCTAAATAAATAAACCCCCCAATCTTAATTGCACCACCTCTTTTATTAACTAATAATTTGTGGGGTAACCCTACAAAAGCAGTGCTGAGTCCTAGGACTGGGTATATAGAAAGACAAAGAAAGGGGATTGGTTAAAAGTTTCAACTCGTTGGGTATGTGCAGGCTTAAGGGCAGCCCAAAGGAACACCAACCAAATTGGTCTCCACATGGGGCATACAAAACCTAATAGAGATCACCAATCATCGTACAAAAACATTTTTAATTCGTTGGAGTGATGTAAAATAGATAGAACAATAATGGTTGTCTTTCCTAGTCTCCGAATGAAGAGAGTTTAAAAAAAAAAAAAAAAAGCATCCCTTATTTCAGGGGCCGGTGGGGAATTCCACAGCGTGTCGCTTCCGCGCAGATCTCAACTGGACCTAATTATTCTTTTTTTTTCTTTTTTTTTCCTTTTCTTTTGTGATATACCAGCTCAGCTAATTAGTAATATCGCTTCCTAACAAAAATAGATTTTTCTTCCTACCAGCATAGCTTATGGGGGAATGATTTTTTTTTCTCCACTAATATCTCTAGCGTTATTTTTTTTATAAATAACAATTAAGTTAGAATTATATTTTATGAAACATGACTCAAGACAATTTTTGTTTCATGAAATTTATCCACTCACTTGAAAAATATCGTATTATACAAGTAAAGTGGAACCTTACCACATTTAAAAAAAAAATGCTCATTTTTAATAATTTGCAAAATGTTGTATTTTTCACATTTCCATAATTATTAAGTTAGAATTAGGTATTGATAATTATCCACGCATAATTTATTATGTTGGTCGAATTTATAATCAATATCAGATGTGATTAATTTCCCTAATCAATGGATATTTTTTCAATTACTGACGACCAACATTGATCTAATTATGGTTAACTCTCACCTATCAACCTTACATCAAATATGAAATTATTTTAATTAGAAAGGAATATTGTTAACTCTTCAAGCGAGGAGGGGTCACTAATAAAAAAACATCTCCCATTACCATAAAAGCAAATGTTACCATTATCAAAATAAAAAAACAGGTGTCAAGCAATAAAGCCATGTTGTAAGAGAAACTGCCTTTGTTGCATAATTAAGCGCATAGACAGGCAAACACACACATACTAAAACTTTGATTGGTTTGTCCTTATTCTTGTTCATGTTCTCTAATGAAAAAGGTTAAGAAAAGGTTTAATGCCTAAGCTAAGAATGCTTATCCACATTAATAAAGGTAATTACTAAAATAAATGATGATGATGTGGACTCGACAAATCTTGTTGCAGTTGTGAAATTTTCTTGGATTCATACCAAGTCAAATTCTGTAACAGGTTAATCAAAGACATCACTTTATGTATTTATATTTACAATATTGGTGGCCACAATTATCATTCACGTTAGAAACTTTTTTTTTTTTTTTTTTTGATAAAAAGACGTATAATTGAAGTAAATAAAACAATTCAGGGGGTCATTGTTTTCATCCATTCTTTCTTATTTAGCACTCGTGCCGGCCGAATTCTAGATACCCCACCGAGAGAAAATAAATGAAGGGGATTGTCCCTTGGAAGCATTGAGCTCTAGAGTTCTTTATCCAACTATGGTTAAACTACAAACAAGTCTAGTCCTTCAATGGCATCAATGTCCTCCTTCCTTTGAAAAATGTAAGTTCGAGTTTTCTCTTAAAAGAGAAGGAAGAAGCAGAAACTGTTTCTAAACACTTTTACTAATTTTACTGAACACAAAGTGCCAAAAAAAATATATATATTCAACTTCTTGATAAAAAAAAAAAAAAAAAAACACAACACCACT